CAGATGGAGGTACATAACGCTTGGTATTATATACACTTTCGCCTACGTTCCAATCTGGAACATCTTTCATAATTTCAGCTTCACGCTGTAAAGATGCTTGAGAACGACGATATGTATCACGATCTAATTCAGCTTGTAACATCGGTACAAGATATATACGTGACCAAATTCGTTCTCGTTTTAGCTCGCTAAAGAATCAATATATATAATTAAGTACTTCACAAAGAAAATTGAATGATTGGTCATTATAAATAGAAAAGACTTACCGAAGCTCTTGAATTGTTTGTGATGCCCAATAAAAACCTAACGTAGATATGGCGGTTAATCCCGTAAATATAACAAGTCCAGAAGGACCTCTTTTTGGTATATTGCGTTTATACCGTATAGCGGGAAACCCACCAGGCCTTGGCAAGTCCTGTGTTTGTAGTGTAGATGCCATTATGATTAAAGGTCCAAAAAAGTTAACAGAAACAGTTGTATCTCGAGTTGATTCAATACTTCATAATGAGTATGTTACACGAACCCATTACTGCGGATTACAATGTGTTTTGCTATTTGGAACGTATAAAAATATCAAATATATTGTATATAAGGTCGCCATATCAAAAATTTAAAAAGTGAAGTGAATTACGTTTAAACTTGGTTTTATATTCAAAAAAAACTCCCAATAAATAATATAAATTTATGATTTTTTTTTATCCAAAACATCTTAATTTATAAATGATGGTCTAATTACAACATTACCACACCTACTTTTTCGCTACCCATTTCTCTGCAACGCCAATTATACATATAATAATTCAAATAACCATCTCCTGGTCCGAATTTTAGATCCTCGATAAATAATTTGTTTTCCAACAGATCAAGACAATTGAAAACATCAACACTTTTCTAATTATAGAAAAATATATTTAGTGAATTCAATATAAATTATTTTAAATAATAAATAGTAACAGATTATACGAACCAATTTCGCCAATATCAATGCATCCTTCATTAAAATTTGCAATCTTCCTTTTATAGCCTTTTCATCGGATTCTTTTACTGCATAATAAAATAAATAAACCGCATTTATAGTTTTATGAACTTGGTGACCAATAACCGATGATGGCAAATAATAAAACGAAAAAAAGTCGGTCACTTTTTTTGTTTCGGGGTCCTAATAAATTTTTTTTTTTTGGTTAAATATAGATATATAATCACGTAAAGACAAAATTTAAAATTTGGCTAGTATTTACTTCAACTACAAATGACCAAACAACTCCTTCTCTTGTCAATATCCAATGTTTTACTTCGTCATCAGTCTTAAAAACAGGTACAAAATTAAATTTACTCATGTATTCATTTAACAATGCTCTGACTTCAGGGACATCTTTCTTTAACATTGGTCTGAGACCAACTGTAGAAGTTTCAACTGGTAGCTTAAACTTTTTAATTACACGTGATAATGGAACGTTAAGAGGCTTGTGTGAAAATTTCGCCTCAATCAATTTTTTGGGATTGAGAGATCGATGATAATATCTAGAATAATTAATGCAAATGTTAATAGAATAAAAATAATAATTCTAAAATTCTATATTACAACATACCGGGCTTTAGCGATAGGTCTTGGAAGGACAACACCAGCTGTATATACCGCTTGAAATATTCCTTGTAGGTGAGAGCGTCTTGTAATTTCTTTGATTAAGACGGGTGCTAATCGTTTACTTCGAAGCTTTTTATGGACGCACAAAAAATTAATTTCGACAAGATGCTGATGACTTTTGAAATTAAGTACAACAAGGAAGTTAATTATAGAAAATATCTGAAGAAATAACCATAGTAATTAGGTTATATAACTTACGAATCATAGATTCGAATATCTGCCGGAATACCACTAACGAATGCGACAAGTTTCTTATTAGAAGAAACACGAACACCTACGTGCCAAAGTTGTAAGTAACCTGGTGGTTGAAGCGCCCTTTATCACAGATTTCAAATGTTAAAAATATTTGATTCATAAAAGCACGTGATTTATATAAGAAAACCTACCATTTCAGGAAATCACCGGAATAATCAAAACGAAACATCGCATCGTCATCTTCGACATAATTATTTGTCAAGAGAGTGTAGAGCTCGTTTAGCTAATGAAAATCCGATCAACAACACACAACATATCTTTAAATAATTAAAAAATAAAAGTTGGAAAACGAGAAAAGCGTATCTAAAGTTTTTATATAAGAAATAAAAATAATTACCTCCGGTTCATTATTCAAATCCAAAGTTGTCCACTCAAATTCTTTAGGCAAAACGTAAGGTTCTTTACGAATTTGATCGTGTGAAGTATTAGGTTCTATTGGACCATCATCTTCAATAGTCTCACCTATTGGCTAAATCGGTTAATCAAAAATTAATAAATGATTGCATAGATTTATACCCACTTACCATGTTTTGGTACAGGTTGAGTACTCCAAAACTTGTGAGAACTCATATCCTTTTGCTTCTGCGAGCTACTAGAACCAGAGACTGGCTGTATCGCATCACGAATTGCTAGCTGATTAACCAACTTTCTCACTTTTTCTTGTAACTCTAATTCTTTAGTTGACACAGCAGCGGATGTATCTTCCGTTGAGCCACCAGTGGAATTTTTTGCTGCCTTCTTTTTCGCTTTTTTCATATCCTTCTTTTCCTGTTTAGCCCGCAATTTATCTACGGTATCCCCTTCACCCTTAGCATCGAAAACGTGATCATCCTTATCCATTTTGAACTTTTTTTAAGCTTCACGTCTTGTATTCTCAATGGTAAACCTTAAAAACAAAAAAAACTCCGTTATTTATGTAGAATTTGACCAATGATTGTTCACTGATTTCCGATGATCGAACTTTGATCAACTTGCATAATCCCCCCCATGTAAAAAAAATTTACCAATTCTGGGTTTAACTAATATTTATTTTGGCACGTGAGAATCATGTGAACTAATACAGAAATTTTATTCTCTATTTAATAATTTTTTACAATTTTGGTGTCAAATTTTTACAATTAAAAAATTACCTATCATTACATATATAAGATATATTTCAAAAGCAATTATAATTAAGCGTAAAATAAAAATAAGGATCAGATATACAAAACCTTATATACCTTATATAAATTAATTAAAACAATCATCAAGATTCCGAAAGATTCATCTGAAATTAATGCATAAAACACATTGTTAGATTTAAATATAAAATCAATATTTGTTCAAATTTCTATAAATAAAAATACAAATTATATTAAAAAAAAAAAAGCAAAAAACAAAAGCTCGTTTCATTGTAAGTGAGAAATAACTATATGAAAGATAATTATATACAAATGATAGTCAAAATATAAATAATAATGAAATGTTTTGTAAAAAAAAATTTATTTTTGGATGCTAACATAACCCAAGAAAAAGTAAAGAAATAACATAAGTAGAATTCCTTTTTTTTTTTGAATCATGCATAATGTCCTACTTATAGATCAACTGCTACCATTCTTTACTAAGCTCCAGAAAATTCCGAAATCAAAAGGCAAATTTTTTGAAAGTAAAACTTTCAAAAAGCTAAATCATCCGTAAAAATTCTCAATTTTGCTCAACTTTTCCCTATAAATAATCTTCAGCATAAAATAAATAATAATAATACACTAACCAACAATTAAAAATATATATACCCTTCTCTCTTTTTTTATTTCCTTTTACTGAGTCAATTAATGCTTTACTCGTCTTACGTGAAAAAACCTCGATCTCTGTCTCCGTTATTATACATATTATATACAAGTTTATTGTTGTGTATTCTGAGAATTCGTTCTCGTACGTTCCTCCTTGTCCTTTATATAACTTTTTAAAAGCTCTTCTAAACTATGGTCTTGTTGATCAACCGCAATTTGCGTTGCTTTCCTAGCTAGTTCCCAAATCCAAAGTTTTGCTGCGTCATTGTCTAATTGCTTTATGTCTGTGTCACCTTTAAACTTTTGAACTGCAGTGGCAATATCACGTGCGGGAAGTTGATGATTTGGGTACTTCGCCTTCAATAATTGTCGCTGGGTTGTGACGCCAAGATTTCCATGAAGAGTATAGAATTCGATATCTTCAAGTACAGATTTTGGTAAGCTACGATTTTTAGGTGCTGCTGCTTCCAGCACACTTCGATACCTTGGTGAAACCGAATGAGCCGATGATGCATGTGCTGATGGACGAGGTTCTCGCGTTTGTTGAAGATTTAACGTATGATTATGCTCATTTACAAAAGTGGTAACAGTTATGTGTGAACTAGTTTTGGGAAAAGAAAGATTGATATGCCATCCGCATTCAATACGCTTTGAGGTCCTATTGCGTTGTTCGGACAACGCTGCCTTTTTCTTTGGTGTATATCGTCCCCCATGTTCACAATCATACGTCCTTTTCCTAACCATTCCCATTTCATCTCTTTCCACACGTTTTTTTCTAACGACAAAACCTTGCTCACGCCCATATATCTCAAGATATTCGTCAACATGTTCCCAATTTTCAAAGGTCGTTCCAACAGTTAAAACTACTCCTGAACTAGTGGCTCCCACGTCATTTGAAACATAAGTGCCGTCTCTAAATGTGCTAGGACTTACGGTAAAACCGGAATCGTGAGAAGGTACGGGAGAAGTTGGAACTTCCTGGTGACCAGATCCGTCTGGCTGAGCAACAATCGCAATTGTTGAATTAAAATCTTTGTCAGTTGGCCGTGAAATAGTCAACAAATTTACATCTTGTTCACGACTATGTTCGTAATTCATGTTTAGTATTTTTCAATAAAAAAATATAAAGAAAATTTTACACCCTTTAAAAAAAGTAAATAAAAAACTTCAATGGTAAGTTAAATAAACAAATCATCAGAGTAACTATTATTGAATCAATGATGATTGGATATGGATTACGGATTTACAATGATTTCGGAATATAAGTCCGAATGAACTCTTTGATCATCTACTGTTAACTCAACATCTAGGTTTTATTATTTAGGAACATCCTTAACCTAGAAACCTTGGATGGAAACATTATCATGTGATAATTTCACATGATTGGTTGGGACAATATAGATGTTGGATGAACATATTATGTATATTCATTTTTTTTTCAATGGCTACAATATTCAAATTAGCTAAAGCACAGAAGAATGCTGCCGATAATAATGAAGAGAAGGGAGAGGTCTCCACTGATAAAAAACCAGCTAAAAATAAACAGAGAGTCCTAGTTTTGTCTTCGAGAGGAATTAATTATCGGTTCGCATATGAAGTTCAAAAGTTATCTAATAAATTTGTTTTCTATTTAACATTTAATTTGCATTTTTAGTCAAAGGCATCTATTGAATGACCTAGAGGCGCTTTTTCCTCATTTTAAAAAAGGTTTGGTTTTATCAATATAACTTCATTTAATTTTTGAATTGAACGAAATCTCACTTATAAATTTTTTCATAGATTCAAAACTTGATACAAAATTTAATCTTGGAATTCTTAATGAACTTGCCGAATTAAATAATTGTAATAATTGTGTATTTTTTGAAGTACGTAAACATAAGGACCTCTACATGTGGACAAGCAAGACTCCGAATGGTCCAAGTATAAAATTCCACGTTCAAAATAGTAAGTTAACTTTTACTTGATAAGATCCGAATTTTTTTCGATATTAAAAATTATTTTTTTTATTAAAGTTCACACAATGAATGAGTTGAATATGCATGGTAATTGTTTGAAAGGCTCCCGCCCTATTCTATCATTTGATAAAAATTTCGATTCTGAACCTTGTTTACTTTTGATTAAAGAAGTTTTTACTCATGTACGTTTATACCTTACAAGTTTAAATGATTATGATCATGTTACTTTTAATATTGAATTAATAATTTAATAGATATTTGGAGTTCCAAAGGGTGCCCGTCGATCAAAACCATTCATTGATCATGTTATATCATTTACTATATTGGATAATCGGATATGGTTCCGAAACTTTCAGGTTCTTAAAAGAAATCAACTTTAATATCCTTTTTCTTATAATTCAATATTTAAAAATTATACCTTTATTAATTAGGTTGTTGAAAAAGACCCGAAAAGCTCAGATATAAAAGTAAATGACAAGAACATTTCTCTTGTAGAAATTGGACCGAGATTTGTTCTCAATGTCATTCGTATATTTGAAGGTAGTTTTTGTGGGACATCTATTTACGCAAACCCTGAATTTATAACTCCAAATCAGGTATGTGCAAATATATTTTCGATTAACGGCAAATTTTTTGTTTAGAAAATTATGTTCAGTAGTAATGTTTGCCTTTGATAAATTGTTTGATTAGATTCGGCTAAGAAATAAGATTTTAAAAAAATTGTAAAATTTATATTCTTAATATATAAACTTAAGTTTAATAAAATATTTTATATAAAATTGGTAGTATTTTAAATTTCCTTTGCTGTGGTTTAAGGAACCTGATATTATACAGGTTTACAATGAAAAAAAATATATTATTTTCTCACCAAAGAACCAGCTTTATACGTGTATCTTTTATGATTAAAAAGGGAGGATCCGTTATATGACAAGTTTCGATATTTATAATGTTCTCAATTAGAATTACTAAATTTTTTTGGAATGTGCTAATAAATCCTTTAATTTGTTACCTGACCTCAATTTTCCATTTTCAGACCAAAATAATGTGGAGTAAAAATTTTTTGTAATGATCTTAGGGATAACCATTTTTAAGATTATAGATAAAATTGGTTGTTTATACTTATTCTAGAAATGCAAAATAGTAAAATCTATTTAAACTATCACAAAATATCAAATTATTGTGAAATATTAAAACTAGAAATGTTGACCTTTACCTTATTATATATATGATATATCTTGATATAATATATTAAATTATATATAAATTTGTATAATATAACAAATAAACTTTTAAGAAAGTAAGAGTCCGCATTTCTAATTTCTAATTAAAATTATTAAATCTAGCGTAAAAAAAATATTAAATTATTATAAAATATTAAAACTATTAAAAAATGTTAAATTAATTAAACTATTATAAATATTAAACCATTTCAATATATCAAAATTTACAAAATATTTTTTCTATTTGTAATATTTTTTAAAGATAAAGTATAAATATATCTGTTATATTTAATTAAATATGAATTTATATATCAACGTTAATTCTAATTATCACAAAAAATAATAAAGTTTTATTTTAAAAAGTTAGGGATGTTAAACAATCCTAAACAGTCCTAAAAGTCCCAATAAATTTGCTAGAGAAGATTTTTATTTTACTGGCATTATATTTTACTTTCTAATGATAATTTGTTAATTGAATATAAATTAAAAA